TATGTATGGATTGTGATGAGAATTGTACGAGCCCCCAGTAAAATAATTTTAAAAATTTTTAAAAAGAATCAGGCAACCCCTGTGAAAGGGTTGTTCGACCCTTAAGGGGGTCGCAACTCATAGGTTGAGAGCCACTTCAAGAGAGGATTCCATGTGAGCAAATATTTAAAACCAAGAAAACACATAACATTGCAGTTTGGTTTAACTATGTCCTCCTCGCAGTTCGGCAGTGGTGCTGGGATGGAGAAAGGAGCTTAAGGGGGATGACAGGCAGTCCTTCCCTTCTTCAACCCACCCGGCTTAACTTTCATATCCATCTTCTTTATAAGTCCATCTTTGGAGTAAAATTTCATTAGAGAGTAAACTGCGATGTTTAATTTGAAAGGTTAAAAATACTGGAAGCAATGAAAGTACTTTGCTCAATTAGAGCATTCCAGTAAATAGGACATGAACGTTTATTGAACAAAGGAGTCAATAAGTTAACTGTTGGAGGATAAAAACAAATCTAAGCCTTTCCTTTGCATCAAATAATAACACAAGTGCCACATAAATTAGATAGATCAGTTTAAAAAGAGTAATTTGATTTTGATCTCTGAGTCTAGAGGGCTAAGTTTGAAAGTCAAGAAAATAATCACAAATGATGATGATACAATACTTAGACCACCTAAAGGTATAAAACTTGTACACTTTTAGAAAAATGCCATGTATTGTGTTACGAACAAAGTTTATTGAATCAATATCCATAATCATGGAAAATGGCCAAAATATATTATATTCAATTGTATATTTATGATATAGCCGTTAAGTTGGTTTGGGTACCTTTACTACAATGGATGTTTGTGCAAAATTTCTAATAATCTGGGGGAATGTTTATGATGCATTTACTGAAAATAAGCAGGGTATGCAATTGAATGCGGTATTAGAGAAGAATACTGAAACCGCCGTGGACTTCCAAAAGAAGAGACAAGTCTGTCTTGGAAGAAGTATGCCCGGAATGCTGCTTAGGAGCGAGGATGACAAGACTTTGTCTCGTGCGTGTGGTCAGGAGAAGCCCGTCCCTGGAGAGGGGCATTGTGCTTGGTAAAACAGAAGGGCAGCAAAACGGAAGAAGGCCCTGGACAAGATGCATTGACACCGTGGATGCAACAATGGGGTCAAATAAAAAACAATTGTGAGCATGGCGTAGGACTGGGCAGTGTTTGGTTCTGTGATTACTATTAGCCAGAACCAACTTAACAACAACAAATTATTTCAACTACATATTAAAAAATCATTCAAAATAGGATAAAGGATTCCAAATTTACTTTAAAATAAAAGAAAAACTTAAAATTTTCTCTAAGAGATGAAACCAGGTGTCAGTTTTCCCCTGCCTCTCTCATATCTTTCCGGATATGACTTAATAAGCAGATGTTGCTTTTATCATTCGTTAGATACGGCCAATTTATGAAGAAAGGTGAGTGTACCTAGATTTAAAACTAAATTAAGTCCAAGGGATACTTCTTAAATTAAAAGGTCTGTGTCTATATTGTTGGTTTTTAACCCAATTTAACCAATTATACTTGAAATAAAAGTAACCATAAGAAATGGACGTGACAAGAGCGTACAACAATCCAAGCTTACTGGTCAGTTAAGAGACTGGAAGGACCCTAGAGATCCTGGCCCTTATCATTCAGATCTGAACTGAACTCCTCTCCCTGTTACAATAACCTACTCTCCAACATCCACAGGGCAGCATTTACCCAGGGACAGGGTTCAGGTGGCTGGAAAAGCAGGAGAAATGGAAATAGGAACCTGCAAGGAGGTGACAGGCCATGGAGGGGGTGGCAGGGGAGGAGTTGAATCAGCATGTGTACTGAGTGTTGAATGTCACAAGATGATGTCTGCAAATCTCCACTAACTTGCAACAAAAGGGGGGAAAATAGAATTTAAAAGATCCTTCTTTGTTGTCAGTCGCCAATTCGCTTCTAAACCGTTACTTAGGACTGTCATAGAACCTGCATCTTTTATTCTTCTTTTTATTAAAAAATACCTCATTAGACCCGTTTCATTCCCCAAAGTTCAAGATTACCTTTCGTAAAGCAAAACCAGGCTCCTTTTGCAGGGGCATTCCTCTGTGGGACAGTACAAATTGTTTGTCATTGTTACTGTTTGTTTTGTTTAATGTTTTCAGATCCGTAATGGGGAACAGTGATAGGTATAAGTGAAGCATCTTCTGTAATCCTGGGCAAATTAAATGGGACATGTTAAATAATACTGTCCATTGGGCCATCAGCAAACTAATTGCTTTACCTTTGAAGGACTGTAATCTAGCCTGGTTTTGTACTTTAAGCCCCAGGGATAATGTATTGCTGAGCCCTGTCAGCTAACCCTTAGAACATCTGTTTAGAGCACAGACCAAGTGGCACTTTTCTGTATCTCTTATTAATCCAAATAAAAGTATAAGGAAGGGAGAAGGGCACAGAGACACAGAGGAAAAGTAGGCTGGCAGTTTTTCAAATACTAAGAATATTGACTTTTCTATTGGTGTATCAGAAGATTCATCCTAGTCCAGTGAGTCTCAGATAATCTTAGTATTAATATACTAAAGTAATAAGAATTTTGGCTCACTGATATTGATACCAAAAGCCATTCTTTCTACAGAAAATAATGGCCTCTGGTAGACTAAATTGCTGTTACCATAGGAACCTTGTTCTTCCCAGTTTGCTCCTTAGAAAGAGATTATATGTATTTGTGTTTACATTTAAAAATATCTGCCCACCAGGCAGTCTGCGGCAAAATTTCTAATCTACCTCCTGCCTCCTTTTGCCTGTTACCTTTAACTTTCTTTACCATAATGGGTAACCACTGAGATTTTCTACTGTTAAAGTATTTTCTGAAAAGCACTAGGTCTACATCCTTTGAACAAAGAGTAAGGCACTTTGAGGACTCCTCGTGAGCCAGCCCTTTCAAACTTGTGTTTCCGTTGAAGAGTTAAGAAACGTTTGCTTTCCAAGTGGAGATTTTCTCCATGAAATCAGATGCAGCTCTAACCTCCACCTTTGTCTTTAGGACAAATAAACCCATTCACTTTTCCTGTCTACCTACCTTGTGTAAACTCCTGCTAGCTCTTAAACCCAGATTTTATGTTGCCTTTTCTAAGAAGCCTACCTTAATGTCCAGAAGCCAAAAGAAATACACTTCCTTGTGTTGCTATGGTGAGATAGGTCAGTGGGGTTGAGTGGCAGATTATGAATTTTGTCTTGGCCTGCCCAGAGGGCAAGTGTTTCTAAACACAAATGCAAACACATTTAACCTTGCCTTTTATGTGGGACACCCGGGCTCCACTCCCAGCCTATGAGCTTCTTGTGCAGCCACCACTCATCAGTTACTGGGGGCTGGCAGGGTGCTCTGATGCTAACAGGCTTCATCGGACCTTCCAAACTAAGACCAAGTAGAAAGATAGGAGTGGTACTCAACGGATGAAAAATCAGCTACTGAAAACCCTCTGCATCCCAACAGTCAGATCCACTTGTAGTCCTGGAGAAGGCAGCATTCCTCCCATGGAGCACCAGTCAAGGGCGCCCCGGGTTCTGCGAACAGCACCCTATTGCACGTGTCACCATTCTTCTTCTCACCCGCTGCCACAACCCAGACGATGCCTGCCCATTTGTAGGAGATGGTCAAATCGTCGGCCTTAGTTATTTACTGTGCTTTTCAAGCACGTTGCATTTACTTTCATGTTAGTATTGATTATTGTGTGATAAATGCTTGTTTCAAAGAATACTTGCTGCACAGTTTGTGTTTATCAATGACTTGTGAAATAAATGAATTTCTCCAAAGAAAGCTCATTTGCTGTCACTGAGCATTTAATATGGCATGCTCTCATACTGAGTCATCTTTCTAGAAGTTAATAAAGCACAGGAATGGATATAGGAAGGAAACTTGGTGATACTGTGGGCTCATCATTGCTAACCACAAGATGAGCTGTTCAGACTCACCGGCGGCTCTTCAGAGAATGATGAAGCTGTCTGTTCCTGTAAAAATTACAGTTTGGGAAACCCTGTGAACGTTCTTCTTTGTCCTGTAGGATCCCTTGTGGATCTTGAACTTATGAATGTGTACATTTGAACCTCGCATTAATTTTATTTCAGTAGATAGATAAACTTTCATCCCAAGCTTAATTAAGTGTGACCAGCAGTGGCCAACACAGCCAGGTGTGCAGGATGACACTTGTACCCGAAAACCGATCCAAGCCTAGATGTTTGACACGAACATAGGAAGCGAGGCCCATCTGAAACTATTCCAAATAGTTCATTTCTCTGCCAAAGATAATTATGTCGAACTTGGACAGCTTATCAAAGAAAATCATCAGCTGAAGTCAAGGCTTGGGAACAGCTAGAGGACGTACCTTAGAACGGAGCACGAGGGACCATTTTCAAAGGAAACTCCTGAAAGCGTGGCAGAGGACGATCTGCTGGACTGGTTACATCAGAGTCTCGGCAAAAGGCTTTCTCGGGGCCTCCGCGCCTCCCCGTGGCCCGCGTCTGCAACAGAAAGTTACCTTGCTAGTACATAGACTCCATTACTGCCTTGGGTGAATAAGAATGCACACATGTGAAGCACGGCTAACCCTTTTGTTTATTCTCTCTTTTTACAGGAAAATCTGTGACCCAGGTCTTACTGCTTTTGAACCAGAAGCACTGGGTAATTTAGTGGAAGGGATGGACTTCCACCGGTTCTACTTTGAAAATGGTACATTGATGCTAAGTTTAGTCACATCCCTTTCCCAACTTCTCTTTGAATTCCTCCCAAAGTTGCAGATCCTTTGGCCCTTGTCTGCAATGAAAAAAAAAAATGTATCTTAGCCTAGCATTTGACCTAGTCTTATTTTTTGAGTGTGTGTATTTGAAACAAACAAAATAGCTCAAATTTTTTCCTGACATTTGGGAAATACCTTTTCATAAAAAGTAATATTGATTGAATATACTCCTTTTACATTAGTGAATTCTGTGATGTAAAGTTCTCAAATGAATTACCCCCAAAAATGTAACCTTTTCACAAAACTTTGTATATGAAAAATTAAGAGAAACCACTGCAAGCCCAGAATAGTCAACAGCCACAAGTGCTTTCAAGAATTTCAGGTGCTGATTTTCAAAGTAAAATGGAAATGAGTAATCTGTGTCCATTCAAATGATAGGAGTTTTAGAGGGAAGATGACCAAAGAAGACCCTTCCTGCAGAAAGCCCCCCCGGTCACCAAGGAAAGTGCACACCAGGAGTTCCCTTTGTGCTTTTTGCTCTTCCCACACCTGCAGCCAGTTCCGTGCTGTGCTGCCCGCGAGAGCCCGTGGCACTGGACAGTGAGGTGTAGTGGTGAAGAAGAACAGCAGTGGTATTGTCAGAACCAGGCTTGCTTTTGAGAACTAGAAGCTTCATCAAGAAGGTCTGCCTTGGCACAGATCTATCAGTCAGAGAATATTTAATGGGTTAGTTTTTCCAAGGGATCTTGTGATGAATTGGCCTTAACAAAGCTTCAGTGAGCACTCCCATATTCTATGTAGCCCAGCTTCCTGGTTGGCAGCATATCATGCCCTTGTCTCCACCAGGCTCACCATTGGCTGACACCGTCTTGTCACCAGTTAAGAGATAAATAAAGCCATTGATGTTTTAGCCTGTTGCAATGTAACCCTATACATCATGACATTTTATCACTATATATTCTTCATACCGGAATACTCTTTTTAAAAACTTAGCGTGTAGCCACAGTTGGGGGTAAAATGAATAGATCTTTCCTGAGAAAGGAAAGTATATTCGGACAACAGCTAAATCAGTCTAACCTGTTCTAAGCAATCTGAGAGAAAGACTTCATCAAGAATGAATCCGAGCCAAATTCCCAAATCATGATTATTCAAAGAATGAGTAGCCAGTGCATCCAAAGACCAGAGACTGGAGAGTGAGGGTTAATCAGCCAAAGGGGAACAAATGTCCAGGATCAGGAGAAGGCTTTATGGCCAAGCCCCAGCACATGGGCTTGTACTGAGCGCTCACAAATGGACCATCCCGGAATAGACTCTGATATGGTAAGGAGTCACAAAATGAGGTACAGAGACAGTCTTGTGCTACACCTGCCCTTTTTGGGGTTGGGATGGGGGTAATGGGCAGGGAGGAAGGGAGTCGGCAGGGAGACAATGACCTTCATGCTTGATATAGCAAAACCTGCAAAAGGTTTAAGGTGGAAACCAGTAAGAGATGGAAAACTTGCATATTTCCCACTAAAGGCATGATAGCCAAGTGTTAAGGAATTTCTGTCAAAGGCCCCGGTCCCTTGTGAGACCTGAAAAAACAAGGCAGTCCTGTCACGCTCCCACCCTCACAGGTGTCACTGTATTTGAGAACAATCTTCCCATGCCACATATACTTCACCCACCAACCAACCAACCAAACCGCCCGAGGCCACAGGCCCTCCTGTCACGTGGCCCAGGCTAGGCCCATGCTTTTACTATTCAGAGTATGGCTTCTATTTGGAACTGCTTGCCCCTGGAGATAATAAATACCTCTCTCCAGCTTTTACTGCAATCGGTGCAATTGTCCAGGGTAGCATGAAAATCTGGCTGCAAATGGAATCAGAGAAAATAGAGACCCTACCCATTGTTTCTCTTCTTCTTTTTCTCCTATGTACCTGATAGCAGATGGTGCAATTAACTAGCACTTGAATGAATGGCATGACATGCATTGGTCCCAGCTAGTTACTCTGCCGTGGTTTGCTTTATTGCACAGTAACGAAATGTTGCCTCTCGTTTTCTCTTTCAGCTTTGTCCAAAGGCAATAAACCAATCCACACGATTATCCTGAACCCCCATGTGCATCTGATGGGCGAAGACGCTGCCTGCATAGCTTACATTAGGCTCACACAGTACATGGATGGCAGCGGAATGCCAAAGACAATGCAGTCAGAAGAGACCCGTGTCTGGCACCGCCGGGATGGAAAGTGGCAGAATGTTCATTTTCACCGCTCCGGGTCACCAACAGTACCCATCAAGTAAATACTCCCCGGCTGTCAGTGTCTTTGTTAACATTGCCTGTGACCAGCTCCTTCTACAGATTCCATGCTTGATAGAATTGCATATGTTATTTAATGGTGGGGGTCAGTTACAGTGTTGAGAATACATGCCTTGGTTGTGAACAGTCCACAATTCTCTGGGAAGATCAAGCAGACCAGGAATTTTGGGGTTCAAACTTGCCCTAGAGCATTATGCAATAATTGTAGATAGGAACTGGAGGATACCCAATGAAGCTGATTTCCGTTGGGGTTAAATTGGGATATTCTCTTAAAAAGGAACCATATCTGTGACCTTATTGTCTCTAGAGGCAGCAGCAGTGGGCGATGCATTCAGCTGTTAAGCATGAAGTCAGAGGCAGGAACCCATCAGTCTCCCAGAAGGAGAAAGATAAAGGCTACCCTCCTCCCGTGAACTCACACGTCATAACCCCACAAGGGCAGTTCCACTCTGTCCAACAGGGTCCCTGTAACTCAAAGCCAGCGCGATGGCCAGGAGAGGCAAGAGAGAGGAATGTGGTGGGGAAGACTAGAAAAGAAGTTCTACAATGGCAATAAGACATTAGGGACTTCATTCTACGGATTCTGTGCTAAGGCTTATTTACAGATAACAGCAGTTGTGAGAATGGTGCAGGAGCGGGCAGTGTTTTCTTGTCTTAGACATAAGGTTGCTGTGAGTCAGAACCGACTCAACAGGACCTAATAGCAACACAGATAAGAGGGGGAAAGGGTAAAAAGACAGCATTTAACAAGTAAACCTGTGCAACCTGGCGTCTTTTACGCTACTCCGCTCCACTGTGGTGGTCCTGTTGGCTTTCCCAGTGGCTGAAAGCAGACAGTGATGTGTTGTGCATCTCCTAGACTCCTTATCAGTGCCAGACAGTGTGCGAACAAAGGACTGAGCCTCAAGGAATAGATAGTCTAGCTTGGCATTCATACAATCACCAATGCCTGGGGGTGGGGTGGGAATCTATGTAATAAAGGTTATAATATACTTCAGAGTAGACTGGAATGAATCACAATATACTATTGGATGTAACCTTGTAGAGAAGGTAGAAGGATTGTGTACAAGTGGAATTTGAAGAGACAGAAAAAGCAAAGAAAAGATAGACCAAGCTTAAGGAGCATTCTGAAGAAAAGTAAAACCTGGGGGATTTGAGCTCCGTATGATAATAAAGGACTATGGGTAAGAATGGCTGGTTCAGCTACAGTAAAAAAGAATAAGGATACGTGAGATTGTACCAGTAAAGTGGGGTCACGTGAAAACAAGAATGAGAGCAGAGAGCCAGTAGACTTCTCATTCCTTACAGCTGATCTCATTCCAAATACACTCCTCAGGAGTGCCA